CCCCCCCCCCCTCCCCCCTTCCAAATTTTTGAGAATGCCACTAGTAAATCAAAAAGGCGTGTTAGAATTTTGTAAGTACCACTTTTTCCCCAATTATTTTTGTCAATAACCATGAATATGATCTAGGAACAATGGCGTAGCCAATATATGCCTAGAAGACGAAGAGATAGCCCAAAACTAGAATATTTATTTTTGGTCAATAACCATGAATACAACCTAAAAACTCTGGCAGAGCCACTGTAGGCACAGTAGAGGCCCGTTGGCCCCACTATACATTGAAAAATGAATTTGAGGGGGTGTCATCAACTCAAATTTTAATGGACCTTTAAGTTTACATAAATATAGATGTCTCCAACTATTTTAATGATTTTATTGAAATTTATAGTCATACTTATTTTCAAAGATTCCATTAATTGGAAGAATTTTAATAGATTTTAGAGGATTTTTTATAAAGACCAAATTCTTTCAAGAATTCTAGCCATACTCCCCAGATTTTAATGGATTTTGATCCCATATATAAATTTAAATGATATATACTCTGACAAAAACGAATTAAATTAAATAAGAAACGGAAAATTCAAAAATAAGTAGTAATGAAGTATCTCATTTTCAATTCTCATTGAAAAATTCAAATCAGGGTATAACAAAGAATTGAGTTTTTCTTCCTATTGAAAGTTGAAATCAATTTTTTTTTATATTATGGTCAGCTATGAATGAAAAATAAATTTGTCCATTCTTCTTTAAAACTCTATTCACCAACTAAACATGTCTTTAATTATAAAGATTTGTGAAAAATTTTACATGATTCTTGATACTATAATTATAATCATTTTAATTTCATGTTGAACTCATTTTAAATTTGTTGATAGTTATCTGCTTTATTTTTGTATTATAAAGGTTCTTCAATTTTTCAGATGAACTGATTTTTAATTTGTTGGTATCCGTTTTTATGATTTTGTATATTGATGAAATTAATTTTAAATGAGCAACTTAATTTTCTATAATAAAAAATAGAGTTATTAATTTTATTTTTTAATTATAAGGTTATAGTTTTTCTTTTTTTGGGTGATGTATTAAGAATTATACCATTTTATTGTAATTTTGAGAAATCCAATGAATTTATTGAACTTTATACAATATGTTTCGATAAAAATCTGACGAATTCTGAGAAATTCTACTCGAATTCATGAAATCCACGAGAATCTATAAATCTATGCCCTCTTTAATATGTATAGCTAATGCACATTTAGGACCTTTTCGGTAATATGTTAAAAACCAAAACGTGGAAGCTTGATCCAAAAAAAAGTTTTTCTGCATTTCCTAAATGAACCACAATTTAATTCTAGTAATAAGTCTCTTACAATTTCCTATTAAATATTTTACAATCTACTTTATAGAGCAATTCCTCATGGTCTCTCGCTAATAATTGATTCTTGAAAGGAAAAAAAATGTTAAACGAGTATTTATTACATCTACATATCCTTGTAAAATTCCGTCATAAAGACCAATACACTTGACAAGTTAATAGTAGATATAATTAAAGAACATAGATATTTCAAAAAACTTTATGTGTTGTTTCCTAATAGCCCATCTCTTGATATGACAACTTTATGCTTATTCTTCATTGATCTTTCGATGAGCAGAAACACGTTTGATCAAGTAAATTTTTATTTTTCCTTTAAATTTTCCAATTGAATTGAGACAATTCATCATTTCTGAGATCACCCATTAAAAATTCTCTTGCTTCTATTTTTTTTCTCTAAACTTTAAGAATTGTGTGCTTTGAAATAGATATATTAGAAAGTTAAATAGATATATGAAACAGTTGCAAAAAATTATGACATTATTAATATTATTTTGTTATTGCTTGTTTAAATTTTCTGATCCAAGTTATGCCCGGACTGGACTCGATCCTTGGGTTCACTTCTGTAAAGAAATGTAGTCATCAATTAATAATCGTGCAACTAATTTGTTTGTGTGGATGACTTGAAAAATAATTATTTATTTGTTTGTTTCTTTTTTTGTTTGAATTGTAAATCAACTGTTAGCTTTGTAATCTAAACAATTCAAAATTTTCAACAATTCTGGCCATAGAACAACCCTAATTTTAATACCAATTCTCTTCATCTTTTATTAAGGAAAATTTAGATTACCATGTTGAACAAGTTATAATGTGAGATGTATATGGAAAATAATTTGTGTCATTTGGATATATATTGGAAGTGTTGAAGATGTACATGGAGAATACTTTCTTTCAAAGATATTGGAATTGTTGAATGATAACCTTTTTATGGATAGTGGAGCATTCATATGAAAATTGCACCATTTGTCACCAACCTATATCTTGAGGGGCCTGTAACCTTTAGAAGGATGCGGTTGGACCTCAACCATTCATTATAGCTGCACAATCTGTCCTTTACCATGGAAAAGCCTCCGAACCTCTGCTAAATCATTGCTATCAAATGTCTGACTTTATAAAACTTCGTTTTCTTTATCAAATTTGGATGGTACCCAAAAATTAGCGAGATATATTTTTCATGAGGACCATGTGTCTATTTATAAGCAAAAGATTTTATAGTTTCCGTCGTTTAATACTCTTGTTCAACTATAGTAAAATCTTGAGGAGCAACTTACTACTTGCGCAAAAAGTTGATGGCCAATGGACTTCTTCTCCCTGGAAAATATAATGTTCATGTACCTTGATCCTTTTCTTGTCGGTGCTTCCGTACTATCTAGGTTGTCTCATATTCATCGTCTAATGGAAGTCACTTCAGCGTTATATTTGAAATGACGCCTATAAGGTGCTGATTTAAATATTTCTCACTAATCTAGAGTTGTATGCAATATAGAGATATTTTCTGTTTAATTAACTATTGGTTATCAGGATTTGAATGAGTTTTGTAGGTTTGCATTGCATGTTAATTTGGAAGACTATTAATTTTTTTGTATGATCGGTTAAAACAAAATAAACTTCTATTTTTCCTTGTAAAATTTGCTTTATGCGTGGGGTTTTAGGGCCTCGGGGCCGGCCTTGGCCCAAGGCAAACAAGGCCTTTGCCGCCTCAAATTTCAAGGGGCCTCATATTAAAAAAAAAAGGGTATGTAGAGTAAGCATAACGTCTAAAATCCATAAACAAATTTATCATTCTTCATACTAATCAACATAAGTTGAACCAATCTAAACAAAACAGTGTCTAAATTCAAACCTCAGGGCTCTCAAAAAATGCTCGAAACAGCGTCAATGAATGGTTTACCAAATCCAGTGGAGCTATCAATCCACACCACATTAAGAACACTTACTAAAAATCTTGCAACACCCAAAAAATAAACCCACAATGAAATCTTCTGTTTCGACAAGTCGAATTCTGCAGAACCTTCCCCAACTAGAAATTCAGTCCTGTCGGGTTTTGTTCTTCCTACGTGTACTAAAACCTTATTTAATGGGTATAATTGAGCTGGCATTTTTGCTAATTGGGTTCTGAAAGGCCTAATTTCAATAGGTTTGAGGTAAGATGAAGAAACAAATGGGTTTTGAAGTTAGTTTGGAATGAAGAATTCTGGGTTTTGTTTAGCATTTTTCAAGTGTTTTTAAGTTTTGAAACATTTGTGGTTTTCGCTTCTTTAGTGTGGGTGAAGTCGTGCACGTGTTATGATGAAACATAATTTTAATATTCATGTCAACTACGGGGAGCAGAAATTTTGCATGTATTCAGTTGTCCGCTTAGTTTTGATTGGCTTTTCTTTGGCCTCCTTATCCTTGTATTTAGAGAATGTTGATCAATTTGCTTGGTGTTATCATTAATTTTATTTGTTTACTGTTTCTTCAAGAACCATGATCTGTTCTTCAGTCTTTATCAAAACGGCATTATATTGTCCTGAAGCAGCCAAAACCTATTAATACATAATTCTTCCAACTTTGGATTGGCTAGTCCTTGGAGAAACTATGCTAAAGACGTACCTTAAATATAATTGTAAGAGGACTTCCTGTTTGGGATTTTGATCCAGTAAGTAGCACAGACAACGAGGAAAAGTATATAAATCAATATCATTGCAATAGAAACCAATATATAAGTATTGCTATTCTTGTAAAAAGATCATGTTTAAAGTCTCATAATAAATAGTCGCCTAGGGCCTCAAAGTTCTCAGAGCCTAAGTGGGGGTTAGCATTATTTACAAAATTTTGTATATATTGCAATATAGGTACAAGAGAGGGTGACATTAAAGCCTTAACTCCAAAATTTACATGGGAAGATAGGGGTGGCATTTGAATATTTTTCTATTCGAAATTTACAGTTAATACCACATGTAAAGCTAAAAGAAGAGTGAAGATGGATCTTAATAAATGTATTAATCTAACATATTTAAAATGTTTGAATGCTTCGCAGAATGATAATACGACTAACAGCGAAGGAAGTGATATTGATTGGAATACAGATGATGATCTGGAGATAGAAAATGCATCATTCTCTTCTTGTTCGACCAAACAACTGGTTGGGGACCCTGGAGCGGTAAAGCAGCTGCTGCGCTGCACCTGAGTTGAATACATATCTAGCATGCATATCCATCTTTGTTTATTAGATTTATATATCTGTGGCTCATATCATTTAGTAATTTATAAATCACAAACGTGATTCATTTCCCTTTTCTCCATTTGTCATTGTGTTTGTCTATATACTAAAGTATGTCTATGTATGTGCTGATATGCATGTGTGTAAATTATCTCACATTTTTTGAACAATATACTTGAGTATTAATGATTTCTTTATAAATATGTAATAGTTGCTTGTTCTCCTAAATATTTCTTAACTACATTTAGATTACTGAATTTGCTTTTCTCTTTTATCATTCACTGTTTTTTGCTTAGTCCTTACTATTTTATCCATTCAAGAAATAATTGAAGCATCATATCACAGTTTGTTTCGAAAGAAAAAAGAGACATTTGAGGAACAACGTTTTTCATTTCCTTTCTTTTCCTTGCTGATAACTAATGGCTAATCAAAAGAGGGTGCTTAATAATTCCAATATCAAAAAAATAAAATAATAATTTTTCTTTGTTGTATGGGCAGTCAACTTCCGCTGGCAATACTTCTACGTCAACCTCCGGACTTATTACTCACTTCATGGGAATGGGATTCCCCAGAGACTTCATAACAAGAGCACTAAAGAGAGATGGTAAACTTACTATTATCCTTATTTATTAATTTATTTGTTCAACATTGCACGCTGAACTTATAAGTTTGTTTTAATTAATTTAAGGGAATGGTAACTCGGAAGAAGCAATACTGGAGGCTATTCTATCAAACTCAGTAAGCAAATCTTGGCTTAAATTCGTCTCAGATTTTCGTATTAACTTTTGTTATTGCCTTGAAATGATTCAATAATTATTTCCCACTTGTTGTGAATCATGTTTGATCAATTGATTTAATTAGTGAACAAACAGAAAAATGACAGTGTTCTGTGTTTCTGCAATGCAACTTTATTGTAGTGTATCATGTATAATTTTGTAACTTAATAAATCAGATAAAAATAAAAGATTAATCTAGATCTAACTCTAGGTGATTAATAATTATCATAGTGAACAATGCCAAGGAGACGGGATCGTGATGCTGGACCTATGTATTAAGATTTGGGGTTCTATCTTAAAAAGTCTAAGAGGAGTATGTAGTTCAAACTCTTATAACTTGGTCTATATTTTCATCTTTATTCGATATGGGATTTTATTCCTTAACATTATGAACTAGAAAAGATCGTTATGTATTTTGTCCCCACAAGATGGAAATCAAGGGCTATGTATTTCATTCATGAGTGAAATACTATATTAGCACATAAATATGTGACTCCAAGATTATCATAAATGAGACAAGGAAGACATCGCTAATAGATGTCAAGTTCATTGATAAGATTGCCGAGTCAAGATAGCTCTTCTGTAACAAAAGTAACCCGACAATATTTAGCCATTAGCGAGCAACTGTTTGTTTCTTATTAGAATGGCACTATAGAGAATTAGTCGAGGAATACTACATAAGCATAAATTGAGATGAGGTTGACAGGATTCAGCCCAATCAGCATTAGGATAAGCAGTGACCAAGGGAGGATCCGGATTAATTTGAGGCCATTAGGAGAATAGATAAGTCGATAAACACATAAGGGCGATAGTTTTGCAATATTTTTAAAATTTTCTGGATTTATAGAGAAATTCAAAAGTGTAAAGCGTGGCTAGATGGCAAAGTCCAGCTTTTACGAGCCTAAGCAAGGCTAGATGAAGTCTAGGTGGAAAAAAGCATGAAGTGTGACTAGGCAGCAAGATAAAGCTTCAAGCTTAGGTTAGGTTTTTAGAACAACGCATAATACATATACATTTTGTACCCTTCATAATTTTTTCCCCCTACGTGAATATCCTCACTCTGATACTTAACATGTACTAGACATGAGTAATCAACAAAAACAGAGGTACAACACTAAAACTCCTTTGGTAAGAGGAACATGAAGAACGATATTGTTGACATTGAGTTGGTAGATAGAACAGTACAAGGCAATAGTTAGAGCAACTTAAATTGTTGAGGGTTTAATGACCAGGCTCAAGGTTGATAAAATTTTTTGAAGAAAGCTTTTAAGAATGAGCCACACTACCAATAGAAATATGTTTGGTCCCTAAAACCCATTTAATTTTTACAATGTTTGGTTTTGTTGAGGAGAAATTAACCAACTCCCACGTACCAGTTTGAACGAGATAATTGAGCTCTCCACACATGCATGGTAGCTCTCCATTTGGGTAATTAAAGGCTTGTACAGCGGAGGTGGGTTTAGGGAGTAAGGGGATGCTTGTGTTGGCATATAAGAACTTTCTATAAGAGGTTTAAATATATATTATCTTGGAGTGAGAAACGAAGTGGGAGTCTTCGACGGGATTACTAATATATATGTCCAGCAGAAGAACATTTTCTGTTTTAGATAAAGGAAAGATCAGTCATGTATTCTAGGAGCACATCCCAACTAAGTTGGCACTCACCTAACAATTCCCACACGAAAGATCCTAATTTTATATAAAAAGTTAAAAGGAAAATATTACACGTGTCGGAAAAAGCTCATGGCTCCACAGCTGAAAGAAAACAATGATTAACAAAATCTATAATTACAAGAGCCAAACTTGTCATTAGATAAAAAACGGGAGCAGAATTCAGTGGTCAGGTATCCCCATTCGGCTGCTGAGGTGGTGATTGCGTGATTTGCCAGAGCATTCGCCTGATTTCCTTTCCTGTATATATGTGAGTCCCGGAAATTCATTCGAAATAGGTAATGATGAGTTAAAAACCAACGATAACGGACCTTCCAACAAAAGTACGTAGCCATTTAGACAGCAACTGCACCACATATATTGAATCACTCCCAATCCAATTATGTTTCCAGCCCTTATGCCTTGCATGACTGATTGCATGTGATACTCCCAGTAGTTCAGCCTAGGGAGAGCAAAGTAGCCTTTGACAAATCCTCTACAAGTGCGAAAGACTCCACAACAACCTGCTGGTCCGGGCAATGCCTTGTCTTCTACAAGAGATTTGCTTCCATGATTGCCCAAGAGATAAAAGCAAAACTGGCGCGAACAGGTGGCTCCATGTTTTCAAATATGCATTGGTTTCTAGAAGTCCAAATTGTCCAAAAACACAATATAATTGCTGCTTTCAATAAAGAGAACACTTGAGTACTAAAAAACCTGGTCTTCGACTATGTGTTTCTCTCTGACTCATCAACTCTCAGACTTCTCTTTCTCACTCTCTCACTCGCATTGCAAAGACATGAACTGGTATTTATAGTGTGGTAAGTCGGCTGTCTGATCCTTCTCACTAGTTTTAGTACGGAAATTGGCAGCAACGCCTAGGAATTATGGAGTTATCCAGATTTTGTACTATGTTGGCTGTTGAAGGGTGGGGCAATTAATCCTAGAAATACTGGAATTTTTTTTTTTTTTTAATTCTCAAGTTGGTGATGCTTCCTTCAACAAAGGCTGCAGTGAGTTAGAATTTGTTATTCAATCAACAAATATATAACAAGATTATGGTAAAAGATGCCATATTGCCGTGAATTCAGGAGTGCTGCCTGATTCTTCTGTTGAAGCCATGTAATGATTATTCTAGAGTCTTCTTGCATATATCGTGTGTACAGATTATGCTGTATAAACATAGGTTGATGAAATGTAATGAATTAATCCTTTTCAATAAAAATTTTTCATAAACTTCAACTTGATATCAGAGCCAAAATGGCAAACACCAGCAATCAATCTGGACCTACAGATTCAGGCATGGCACCAGTCATCCAAGTGCCTGCAAACCAGTATCCACAAATTTGAATGCCTCTCAATCAAACTCCATCGATCAAGCTTGATAGGAACAATTACCTGTTGTGGAAGAACATGATTATGCCTATAATTAAAGGCCATAATCTTGAAGGTCATCTTCTTGGAACAAAGGAATGCCCACCAGAATTTCTAGCTACACAGACAAGTGTCGGCCACGGTGAAGCAGTTGAAATGAATCAAAACCCTGAGTATAACAAATGGGTCTCAATCGATCAACTCTTGATTGGATGGTTGTACTCAGCCATGACCCCTGAAATAGCAATGAGAGTTATGGGGTGTTCGAGCTCCAACAAACTTTGGACTGCAGTTGAAGAGAGTCATGGTGTGCTGAACAAATCCAGAATTGTGTTTCTCACTGGTGAACTACAAAGAATCAGGAAGGGAAATATGTCAATGGATCAATATCTCACAACTATCAAACAACTAGCAGATAATCTGGAAGTGGCTGGAAAGATCATTGATCAAAATGATCTGATAACTCAAGTGTTATCAGGCTCGGATGAGGAATACACACCTATAGTGGTACAAATCAATAGTAGGGAAAGCATTGCTTGGCACGAGCTGTCATCAATCTTGATGACATTTGAAAGTCGCCTTGAGTACCTGAATCAAGTGAGAAATAATTTTACCTCTATGAGCATAAACCAATCAAGTATGCAATCAACACAAAGGACAAATTCAGGTGGTGGCAGAACCTTTAGAGGCTTTAGCAATAGTAGAGGAACAAATTTTAGAGGGAGAACCACAGGTAGAGGAAGAACTGAAATGCAAGGAGAAAGTAAAGGACCTTGTCAAATTTGTGGCCTAAACAACCATTCTGTTAGCTGGTGTTTCAACATGTACGATGAGAGATATATGGGAAGCAAACCAAGCAGCCAAGGTTCCCAAAACATAGCACCATCACCATATGTTGCCTCACCAGCAGTGCTTGAGGATCTAGCCTGGTTTGTGGACTCAAGTGCAAATAACCATGTCACAGCCAACAAAAACAACTTGCAAAATGTGAAAAGATATGAAGGTAATGAAAAACTTACAGTTGGTGATGGAAATTCATTGCATATCACTTATACTGGAAATGGAAAAATTGCTACAATGGATATGAGACCTCTCACTTTACATAAATTATTGCATGTACCTTCTATTAAAAAGAATTTGATCAGTGTCTCTCAACTCACCAGAGACAATAATGTGTTTATGGAATTCTATTCTAACTCTTGTGTTATCAAGGATCTGGAAATGAGGAAGACCTTGCTGATGGGAATGCTTAAGGATGGCTTGTATCAATTGGTGACTCCAAACTCCAAGTCAAGAACCAACCTCATTGAGTCTGACCTTCACAATAATTCCAACTGTCTCATAGTGAGCCATAGTTGTGATAAGTCAGCCTACAATATTAAAAACTCTGAGCCAGAATTGGATATCTGGCATAGGAAGTTAGGTCATCCCTCCAATTATGTATTGAGTCAAGTCCTCAAGTCCTGTAATAAGTTTATTAACACTAATGAAAAGCCAAAATTCTGTGAATCCTGCAAAGTTGGAAAGGCTCATGCTCTGTCATTCAAATTGTCTTCTTCACATGCTTCAATGCCTCTAGAACTTGTCTATACTGATGTCTGGGGACCAGCCCCTCTCAATTCTACCATTGGATTCAAGTATTATATACTCTTTGTTGATGACTATAGCAGATTTACTTGGATATATCCTATGAAACTTAAATCTGAAGCCTTAAATATCTTCATTCGTTTTAAAACAATAGCTGAAAATAAACTAGAAAATAAAATAAAAACGCTGCAATCAGACTGGGGGGTGAATTCAGAAATTTCAGTAAACTTGCCTCAAATTTTGGAATAGAACTCAGACACTCATGTCCCTATACATCCGTTCAAAATGGGAGAGCTGAGAAAAAGCACCAACATGTCACTAAAATCGGGTTAACACTCCTAGCTCAAGCCCAAATGCCACTCTACTAATGGTAGGAATCTTTCCAGACAGCAGCCTTCTTGATCAATAGGCTGCTTACTCCCTTACTTCAAAATAAGTCACCATTTCAAACACTTTTTGGAAAAATGTTTTATTACAAAATACTGAAAACTTTTCGTTGTGCTTGTTATCCTTGTCTCAAACCCTATCAAAAACATAAATTTGATTTTCACTCCTAGAAATGCGTGTTTCTTGGCTATGGTGATTCACATAAAGGATATAAATGCTTGAGTCAAAGTGATAGAATTTATGTTTCTAGACATGTCCTATTCAATGAACTTGATTCCCGTTTCAAAAATGGATTCCTAAACAAGCAAGTCAACCCACAAAAGTCTAGTCACATGTTTTCTTACTTTAGCCACAGAGTCTATCAATAAGCCAGTACATCAGTCTACCAATGATACAAGTCTTTCTCATGCATCACCTACTGAAGGTCTCTCTGAAGGTGACTCTGAAACTGAAAGTAGAAATGAAGAAAGTCTCAGAAACAATGATATTGAAACAAATCAGAGAGAGGTTGATGGTTAGGATGAAACAAATCAAAGAGAGGTTGATGGCTTGGATATATCTGAATCAATGCCTGGAAGTGATGATGCTAATGCTGAAAGAGATGAAACAAATACTCAAGCAACAGATGAGACTCAGAACAGAGGGCATCATATGATCACAAGGAGCAAATCTGGCATCTATAAACCTAAGGTTTACAAAAATCAGACAGCAAAAAGGCAAGAAGAAACTGAACCATTCACTGTTGAAGAAGCTTTGGCAAATAACTTGTAGAAAGGAGCTATGCAGGAAGATTACAACGCACTGATGAATAACAAAATATGGACTTTAGTCCCTAAGAAAGATGGTATGAAAGTCATTGGTAACAAGTGGGTATTCAGATTGAAGTATGACTCTGATGGAAGAATTCAAAGACACAAAGCAATGCTAGTTGCAAAAGGTTTTCTTCAGACCCCTGGTATTGACTTTGGTGAAACCTTTGGTCCTGTCATTAAAGCCTCCACACTCAAAATCATCCTAAAACTAGTAATATCCAAGGACTGGGAAATTCGACATGTAGATGTCAACAATGCCTTTCTAATGAAGAGTTATATGAAGAAGTCTTCATGAATCAACCTCAAGGTTTTGTAGACCAAAAGAAGCCTGATTTCATGTGTAAACTGAAAAAGGCCCTATATGGGCTAAAGCAAGTCCTAAGAGCCTGGTATGATACGCTCAAAAACACCCTGCTGGAATGGAAGTTTAAGCTGTCCAAGGCTGATAACTCTCTATTCTTTCTATCTGACAAAGAAGGAATATTATTTATATTGATTTATGTTGAAGATATAGTGATTATGGGGAGCAACTCTCAACAGGTATCAGATTTCATTGACAGACTAAACAAAAGCTTTGCACTCAAAGATATGGGAAAGCTTAGCCACTTTCTTGGAATAGAAGTCTACAGAGATGAATCTGGCCTATACCTAACTCAGACAAAATATGCCTCTGAATTGTTAAAAAGACTTGGATATGAAAGTGTAAAACCAAGCCAAACACCTATGGCTGCTTGCAAACTGATTTCCAAAACTTAAGGTCAACCAATGAATGATCCAACTCTGTACAAAAGTGCCATAGGTGGACTTCAATATCTCTATCATACAAGACCAGATATAACGTTTTCAGTTAACAGATTGAGTCAATTTCTTCAAGCTCCTACTAATGCTCATTGGAATGCACTGAAGAGAGTATTTAGATACTTAAGAGGCACCCTAAATCATGGACTAGCAATCCGAAGAAATGATAATCTCAGCATAAATGCTTTTGCTGACTCAGACTGGGGATCGTGTCCAGATGATAGACGCTCAATAGTAGGACACTGTGTTTATCTTGGAGAAAATCTGGTGTCTTGGTGCTCCAAGAAGCATCACATCGTTGCAAGATCAAACACAGAAGCTGAGTATAGGGCACTAGCTCACAGTGCTGCAAAAATCTCGTGGATTCAATGTTCTGTTGAATGAACTTGGGCTATCTCAAAAATCTGCTCCAAGCATCTGGTGTGATAACCTTGGTGCCAGTGCTCTTGCTTCAAATCCTATCTACCATGCGCGTACTAAACACATTGAGCAAGACGTCCACTTTGTGAGAGACAAAGTTCTGAAAGGAGAGCTAACAATACACTATGTCCCAACATCTGAACAAACAGCTGATTTATTGACTAAACCTCTCAACCACTCAAGATTCCTATTGCTAAGAGACAAGCTTGGAGTTGTTGAACACACTCCAGCTTGAAAGGGGGAGTTAGAATTTGTTATTCAATCAACAAACAAATAACAAGATTTTGGTAAAAGATGCCATATTGCCGTGAATTCAGGAGTGCTGCCTGATTCTTCCGTTGAAGCCATGTGATGATTATTCTAGACTCTTCTTGCATATATCGTGTGTACAAATTATGCTGTATAAATATAGGTTGATGAAATGTCATGAATTAATCCTTTTGAATATAAAATTATCATAAACTTCAACTCGGTGGGAGGCAAAATAGAAGCCACGATATTGTGGTAGATCCTACATAAGCACTTGCCCATGGGGAATGTGCCATATAAGGATAGAGCGGGAGGATGGAATGGATGGTAAACAATCTTCTTTCCCCAAGCCAAGGACAGTCTCTGTTTGAGAAAGTATTGGTAGGAGTCTTTTTAGTTTACCTCTTCTAATATAGAATGATCCCATATTAATTCATCCTCAGAGTCTGGGCATGGGATAGTGAGCTCAATATCTGCCACAATATCAGGGAAATGATTCTTAAATGCCATTGGAATGTTCCAGCGACCAGTATTATAGTAGTCAGTCGCTTTGGCTGTTTTTTCAAATTATTTGAACCATAATAACACAATTTAGACGATTTTTATTGTAGCATCATTTTCCATCATAAAATAAGAAAATAGTATCATGTGAATCATTTTTAAAGAAATCTTCATTTTTTAATCAGAGGCAATAAACAAGATCTCAATTGAAAATAAGCAAAACAAATAAGAACAACAATAAATCTGTTTGTACAACGTTTTGGTGTACAACATTTTTACAATCTCTCACAAAGAAGTGGGGCCCGCGAGCAAGAAATTACCCTAATCAATTGCATTACAAAACTACATACTGAGTCTAGGATAAAATTACACACATGGCCATGCCATATCAACTTAAAAAATAAGACCCACAAAAATATTGTTTAGAAGATCAGGTGTTGTTAGACAATGTAATAGGATCTTTTTCTCATAACTATAATTTCATTTGTTAATAAAAGAAAATCTTAAGTGATCCAACAGATTTTTTTTATTTTCTATTTTACCTCAATGGAGACCTTTGAATCTTTAAATTAGTTTGTTAACTGCACTTTTTGTCGATAGTATTTATTTTTTGTTTTTGATACTTTATTTTGTGACATAATTTCTATCAGTAAAATAAAATTATGAAAAACAAGCATTTCATCATCACATAAGATAAATCTGACTTGAAGATATAATGGTAAAACTGTTTGGAGATAAATTTCTTGTAATTTGGGTGCTTAGGCAATGCTGCATTAACTCAGTCTGAGGATTACTCTCCATTCTCTTGTACTTGGCTCAAAATGTTGTACTCAGGATATGATTAGTTGAGAATGTTTATTTCATTCTTTATAAAATTCCTTAATGCAGGGGAACACAACTTCATCATGTGAAGAGGGCAATACATTTTCCTTTCTAATAGAGATGGGCTATGAAGCTGAGGAAGCTTATACAGCTATTGAAAGATGTGGTGAGTATCTATTTCGAAGGTTTAATGAATTAATCATTCTCCACTTATATATAAAACATGGACAAAAATCTAAAGATTAGCATTTTCATGTAGGATTAGTTTTAACTGGAACATGAATCTCTTCAAACTTCAAGAAATGTTTAGGAAACCTAAAAATATTTCTGAACATATTTCTTTAGCAGATTGTGTCTTAGTTTTTCGAAAAATATAATGTGCATGTCTTATATAGCATTTTCCTTTCTGAAATACTTTATTTTGATATGATTGTCTTACATAAACTCAATACCAGAATATAAATTAGTTGATAACAATATATGGTATTTATAGATGCATTACAATACTATTTAAAGTAAAATTCTAACATTGTAGGTAAAGATACCCCAATAATGGATGTGATTGAATTCATTGATGCTGCTCGTATGCGCCATGATGCACATGCTGCTCCTTCAGAGGTAAAGATAGAGAAGCTGCAGTCCAACAGATACAAGCATGAACTAAATGAGAGTACAAGGTTCAAGAAACAAAAAATGGATAAAATGGCTCATCGACCAAATAAAATGATAGGATTCGGTGTTCCTGGTGTACCAGTGCCGCCCATGGTTATCAATAGGAATCTTCCCCATTATACAATTGGCCCTCCTTACTTTTACTATGAGAATGTAGCACTTACCCCCAAAGGAGTTTGGAGTACGATATCGAGGTTCTTGTATGATATTGAGCCAGAGTTCTTAGACTCCCAATATTTTTGTGCGGCTCAGAGGAAAAGAGGTTATATACATAACCTCCCAACCAACAACAGATTCCGGCTTCTTCCTATTCCTCCTACCACTATTCAAGAAGCATTCCCTCTATCAAGGCCCTGGTGGCCTGCTTGGGACACAAGAACTAAGCTCAACTGTCTGGTTACATGTGTAGGAAGTGCTCCACTTACCGAGAGGATAAAGATAGCAATCGAAAAATCAGGTGAAAATGAAGAGCCACCTTCACATATCAAGAAATATGTTATGAATCTTTGCAAAAAATGGAACTTAATTTGGGTCGGGAAAAATAGAGTCGCTCCTCTTGATCCTAATGAAATGGAGTCATTAATGGGGTTTCCAGAAAATCATACACGAGGAGGTGGAATTGGACATACTGAAAGATATAAACTTCTCGGTAACTCTTTCCAGGTAATTAGCATCCACACCGTCAATACATTCCATCTAGCTAATTAAATTGTACTTGAGTGTTCAGTCTTTTAATTACGCAATTAGATATGTTATCACACTCGTGATCAGGTTGATACTGTGGCATATCATCTTTCGGTGTTAAAGAATTTGTTCCCTGGAGGCATCAATGTCTTATCACTTTTTACCGGGGTTGGCGGGGCTGAAGTGGCACTACACCGCCTTGGAATTCCATTGAAAAATGTTGTATCTGTTGAGATGTCAAAAACTTGTCGAATTGTTGTTCAAAGCTGGTGGGAGGAAACCAACCAAAAAGGCAAATTAATTCATGTTCCAGATGTGCGAGAGGTAACTGAACACATATTAAAAAAGTGGATTTCTGAGTTTGGTGGTTTTGATCTTGTCATTGGAGGGAGTCCATGTAATAACCTCGCTGGCGGAAATCGTGTGAGCAGAGATGGGCTTGAAGGCCAACATTCTTCACTTTTTTATGAGTACTATAGAATCCTTCAATCCGTCAGGCACCTCATGAGGGCTTCATAATGCTTTGTCTCAAAGTTCATTCATCACAGTTGGACCTTTAAT